AACTGGCACGAGCACGAGGGAGAAAGTTTCTATTTCTGTTTGCCTTGCTCCAAACGGGAGCCGATAGCGGCTGGGACAGAGCCAGGCACGTCTCAGCCTGGCACCATGCAAAGCACCTACATGCTAATATAAGCAGCGTGTTGGGTTCATTCACTCTTATGCTGAGTTCAGGCATTCTGGGACCAGCTGGTTTTTCCCAAGGGAGCTTACTTCGCTGGCAAGGGCCACAGCTATTCATATCCTCCCCTTAGCACCTCCTGCGCTCCCTCCTCTCCTCTGGAAAAGCATCAGGAGCTCTGTTCATCTGGCACCTTATTTCTGTGCAGGGCAGGAAATGAGAAGCACGTGAGAGGTGGCTGCTGCTCTGATCTTCGGTCCAAAGGGAATGATGACAAATATAGACAGAGAGAGGCAGTCAGTTTTCAATGTTCTTTTTTTATTGCTAGAAGTTGGTTTCAGTCCTATTGCAGCTCTGAAATCCTTCAGTGGAGAAACATTGCGATCGTTGTAAAAATCATCATTTGGTGTGCTAAGATCAAGTTAACAATTCATCAGGAGTGCACAATTCAACAGAACGGTAACACTGAACCATCGACTTTACAAATGAAATAAAGACTACAAAGATGGGGCTGCTGCAGTATCAACAGGAAAGGAATTATTTACACTGTTTACACCCTACCAAAAAACCCAAAACCAAACGCTTCCCCAACAAAAGGGTCAATTTAACCACGGACCATGATCAGTTAGTACATCTCTACAGTGCAAGGTGGGCCTAGAAACCAGACCTAAGACGAAAGAGCATCAAGAGTTCACAGCTCCGAGTGAGATGCAGTTATGCCGACAGGATCTGCTTACATGAGCGATTCCCTTCCAGGTACAGAGAGAAATGGGATTTGAACTGAACTTTCCTAAAGTGCTCCAATTGCTTTCAGTACAAAAATATACAAAAACTGATTTATAAACATGGCACGAATGTTCCGAACCAGAGCATCATTTGATGAACTGATGGAGCCACCAGTGGGTACAAAGATGTTGGGTCTGGCCTCCAAAGAGAGAGCAGGGAAAAGGCTTTTCTTTCGCCTCTTCAGCAAGGTCAGGCAGGGGTAGCACATGTGTAACCTGTTTGCTTATCCTCGTAAATGCAAGAAGTGCTGGGGAAGACAACAAAACGCTCCAAGTTTCCTTGCACAGGGGCACAACACACAGGGACTCCACTGAGCAGCACCGCGGAGCCTCAGCTCCTATTCTGCAGAGTTGAAAGTAGAAGGGAAAACAAACCAGGGATTTTGAACCCTTTCCGAGCTTAAGTTTGAACTCTCATTGTAAATGCAACTGACAAACACCGAGTTCCATGGATGCAGTTACTCAGAACGACAAAACCGTCCGCAGATTATTTGGAAGGACTCCTATGTGCAGGGATGCTACTACCTCGTGAGCAAGCATCGCGCGGGGGGATGACGAGCGATCTCAAGCTGGGGGCCATGCCACGACGACGATCCACAAGGGAGCACAGGGGAAAAACTAGGAAAGCATTTACAACACACACACAGTGAGCACGGAGGGATCCTCAGCCTGAAATACGCGATGCCCATACTCCAGATGGGGAGGGAAGGAGGAAGCCTCCTTTACACCAGAGTGGAAGCTGAAAATCGGACCCACAGGAACAGCCTCGACGTTGCAACATCACCACATTAAATGACAAACATGACCAGAGTTTTAAGGCTGTGACACAAAGCAAAGGCGGCAGCAGTTCAAAGCTCACGCTGTCCTTTCCTCCACACCCCAGCTCAGCAAGAAGCCAAAAGGCACCTGGGAGGCACAGAATCTTGAACTGTCTCATCCTCAGGTATCACTTGAAAGGAACCTTTTATCTGGAGTAATCAAAAAGTCAGACGGGAAGGAGGTGACGCAGGATCAGTAGCAGGTTACTGAGCTCAGGACACAGCAGTATTTTGCAAACTAATTTGCCTAGAAGAGTGATTTTCCTAGGAATGAGATTTGAAGACAAGAGTCCAGGACTGGTTCACTCACCTGCAGTGATTCAATGGCTTCACTGACTCACTTCTGCAGAAGAGACGACCCATTATTCATTTAAAGAATAAACTTTCACGTGTTTCCATCACCTTTAGACAAACAATCTTACCACACTCCCCTACGGTAAGCTCTGCACTAGCAACCTGATATCACAGCATCAATGACGTATCACAGCATTTGCTAATTCTAAAGCCTTCTCCAGGCTGGGTATGGTACCAAATGGGAAGCCACATGCATACCTGCTATGGTACTTCACTGACTCTGACCCCAGGGAAAGAAGATGCAGCCCCTGCTCATGGTGAAAACAGTTGTCCTCAAGCTAGCTGCAGCCAGCCATGCGTGTTGAGGACAGATGACTTTACAGGTAGTTTCTCAGTTACACATTGAGGACCCATATCCCAAGGAGCTTCTGGGGTGCTGAACCAACAGCCCAGCCTGTAACAGTCCTGGGTCCACAACTCTGACAGCGAGCATGGAAAGCGTTGCGTTCATGTTAAAACATTAAGAGGAATGAGCCCTCGCTGCAGACTTCATTTCCTACATGTCACTGTTCACTAGCTGACCACCCACTGCACAGAAGGAAGGAGCCAAACAACCCCTTCAGTCCCCAGAACTCTCACTCCCAAACTTTAGGAGAGGCAGAAATTACATTAAATAAATGCTTCCAAAGATGAGTTTCAAATACCCGATCAGCGACATCCCTCTTTGGCTGAGCGGGTTTATTCCACTCAGCTTTAGGCTAACACTCCTGAAAACCTGGTAATTTAAGGCAACGGGGGCACTGAGTTTTCACTAGGAGTGGCCCAAACCACAGCACAAAGGAGGGAACAATCTGTGCATTCTTTGCTGCGTGCTTACGGGAGAAATGAGATGGGATCAGAGATGCCTGGAGCCAGTCCTATATATAGACTATATAGAGCTGCTGGAGCTCACACACTGGCTTGACAAGAAGTTAGATTAATTTTAAGAAGAATTCCCCTCCATTCCAGCTTTGCTTTTAGGAATGGACTTTTACTGGTTGGCCTTGATAATCTTCAAGGTCTTTTTCCAACCCAGTTGATTCTAGGATTCTATAAATGAATACAGGGTAGAACTATGTTCTAACCATCATCACCATTGTATCACAGCAATGCAAAAATCACAATGTTCCCCATACTGTTAGCTGCAAATGCAGCCAGATAGTGTAAATTCTACAATGCTGAGGATTTCCCTTTGGTATTACAGGGAAGTGTGTCCAGTTTCAGAGTAATAACTTGATGGAGAGTACCACCAGCCTGGTAACAACTCAGCTGGTTTGGAGTTTCCTCTCACTGAAGTCAGTGGCACTGCTTCACATTTATATCAGCACCACTCAGTGAAGAAAAAGACCTCTAAGCCCAAGAAGTGTTACAGCAGGGAGTGCTTGTTCCCTAAGACTGGTTCTGGATTTCGTTGCTTCTCTTCTCACACTGACCACTAAATTTGGATGTTTCAATTTCTTTCCTGAAGACAATAACTGAAATTATCATCACTTGAAAGTAAACTCCATTTTCTGCTGAAAATGTACAGCGCTATTGCCCTGTAACTACTGACATCATTTTTAAACTCTCAAACAAAATTAAGTTACAGCCTTAAAGAACATTTTTAACATCACAACTGAGACAGCATCAATGATTTGAGGAGACTGACATATTGCCATTCCACAGGATGGAGAACTGACCAGCATTTCATGCACTGCTGCTGAAAACCACTTCAAACCAACATTTAACACAGGACAAAACCCATTACCAATCATGTTCTAAAAAGCATTAACCCCAGATTTAAGCTCTGAGCTACCATTTCTTTAATTCTGTAATCATAGTCCTTAAAGAATCTCTCCCGTGCACAAGGTATCTGACCAGTCACATCCAACATATACTGGCATACACATCCTTAGGTGATGCATGTAATGAAGAACTGAGATAGAGTGAAGTAATACAACAAAATGACTGTGCAAATTACTACAAAGGGAAATGAAATGCCTTCTGAGCAGAACACAATGTCCTCACCCTTCATTCCATGATTAAGAACTGACCCATTTAACAAGAGGTATCAAAGCTGGTTTAGCTGGAAGCAGCTAAACCAACACAGGTTTAGCTAAGATTTGGTTTCTTTGTTTTTATTTTTTTTCTTTTTAATTTTTATTGTTAACTTCTATTTTTTTTCTCTTTTTAATTTTTAGTTTTAATCTTAATTTTTTTTTTTTTAACCCAAACCGTTCTTATTCCCTTCATTCCTGATACAGGGCTGCAGAGGAGTCTCTGCAGCAACAGCAGCTTTGATATCTTCTAGTACTCGAAGTCCCAACAAGTTAAGAGACAAACAAAAGATGCAGAAACCTCAGGATTAAACAAGACAATAAATTACTGCATTCGACCACTTCTTGTCCATGTCTTCAGCAAAGAACAAAATCCAAGTCTCTAAGTTCATTCTGAACCAACTCAGGACCTTCGCTTGGGAGCCTGTGCTGCTCTCTCCCAATGCCTCCAAGGAGACAGGTACTCCAATGCAAGCTCATGGCCAGTGAAATGTGCGTTTAGTCCAACTCTTCGTTACCGTTGTGCATCCTCCCACATCCAACCCTTCTCATCCACAAGCAGGTGGAGCTCCTGACCCTTGAAGACTCTTGTTTAGAAGCTTACCTTCTCTCTTCCACCGTACCTGCCCACTGAGCACGTGCTCCACTGAATGCACTAAAGGAACAGAGTGGGATCACGATGTGGGTCATGCCTGGCTGCAAGGAGGCTGGCTTGGTTAGTCAACCAGTCACCAACACACCATTACTATAACCCATGACTGACCACGAACCTGTGAAAACAGATTGAAAAATCTGCAGCCATTCTGGGGCCAACAATTAAAACTTTTTAAGTAAAATCTGGGTGGTTCAACATCAACTCTACCAATTTAGAAGATGGTGCCCACAAAGAGTGTACATTCTCCAAAAAGAGCACGTTACAATACATGCCAGTGTTTTAATAGGCTCTGAAATTTATACACCCATGCCATGTGTCAATACATTTCCATGTCTGGAGAATTTAAAAGCCAATTATTACCACTGTGCCCTCATTCTGAGCTGCTGGCAGAGAAGCCAACAAAGTAGAACAGTAATCCTGGTCTGGTCCTTGCTAGTAGTAACGGGGTAGGGATGAAAAGACTTCCATGTCAGGTCTCTGTCACGGTGCACGCTGGGGCCTGAGTTCTTGAAACAGTTATGTCAGAAGATCAATCTTTAAATGGAAACAATTAGAAGAAAATTACATCTTCTTTGCTGGTATCATCTTGCACGTTTAACAGACTCGGCTGAGAGGTCACCAGGGTCTGAACAGGAATGTTACTGGGCTTGAATAGGTTCGCTGAGGCAGATGAAAGTGCTTCTGGCTGAGCATCTGTAGGGCCATAAAATTCTGTAGGGAAAAGTGGAAGAAGACATAGTCATGACACTGCCCAGAGAGCCCGATGCACTTCATGGACATGGAAGTTGGTCAGGGCATACCTGGCTGCAATGCAGTGGCCTGGCTGCTCGGGAGTACTGGACTTGCTGACCGTCTGCCTCTCAGGACACCCTCATCTCGCCCAACAAGCCTGGGGGGAAGCAGCTGCTTCTGATCAGTGGATGCTAAAGAAAACATTTTACAAGTTAGCGTTTGAGGCTAGCAGCACTTCACAAGTCCCACTAGTCCACGCTGGGGCCCACTGTGCTGATACCTTCATGCATCCAAGGCAGCTGCTCTATCATAAAGAGCTGGTGCTCCTGTTGCAAGTTACCTACATTTTCTCTTTAGCTGTTTAGACAACAAGCATTTTTGCTCTCCTCTTCCCTGAGGACTTGTAATTCAGTTACTAACAACCCCAGATTTAAACCCTAGTATTATAAAGCACAGCAGAGGAAAAAAACCCCTTTGTCCCTCGCATGCAAATTACAATGGCTATTTGTGCTACTTTTAACATGCAGAAGTGTGATGAACTGTTGTCTCTGCTCCCCATCTGTCCATAGCATGCAAATTACAATGGCTATTTGTGCTACTTTTAACATGCAGAAGTGTGATGAACTGTTGCCTCTGCTCCCCATCTGTCTCACAGCTGCTCAGCAGCAGAGTACATTGATTCTGGCATTACGGCCTCTCAGTTTCTTAATTTCAACAATAAAAGCAATTTATGAAACAGTTACTCTGGATCCAAAGAGCCCCTCTTCTCAGTACACATTCCTCACACGTCACAAAACCCAAATTCAATACACAGTATTTTGCCTCTGGTACAGAAAGTCTTGTTCCATTTTATTGTAAGATCTCCATATGGGCATAACAAGCATGCATCCCACTAACGCTGAGGAGAGAGCAGAGAGCAATGTATTTGTGTTTTATACCTTTCATATAAATTACAGAAAAACACCATTAAGTGCATTTCCACTGCAGAGATCATTAGGTAAGAGCTATTAAAAATAAACTCAGGGAGATGTGGTATTAGAGCTTTATTTTCTCATTTACCAGCATTTGGTATTCAGGGTAAGAGGTTATTAGGCTTCATTTATGTGCAAAAACATGAGCAAGTCTGCAGGACAGACAGAGATGTGCAATGTGCAAATGACTTTCCCCCTCCCCTCCCTGGACAGGCTTGGCCCTGAGTCACTTTAGCAGTGTAGGCCCAAGTGTAAGCCTGCCAAGGCTGAATCCTACACAAGGCTAAAAAGACAATTTTGTAACTTAAAATTCCAGGTCATTCTCCTATGCTGGCAGTAAGGCTATTTAAAGTGGTAAAGAAAAAGAGGGTTTTACTGTGTCGGTCATTGGCAAAGACCACTGCTTTAGTACCTAGCAGTTAGCTGCAGAAAATTCATTATGACATGGTGACTGGATTTTTCTTGCTTCTATTTGTGACAAAATTAGCCCCTTTCAACTCTACAACATGCACAGGATCTCAGTTCTGGCCTGGACATCTGTATTTAACAGCTGACAGGCACGAAGAAAGGCACTGCATTCAGTGTCATTACAACTCTGAACAGAGAGTGAGAAAGCTTAAAACATTTCACTCATGCAGAACAAGCTTTCTCTTTTTTTTTTCTGCTGTTTTCTTTTAACACTACAGTTAAGCATGAAGATTTTCCATCTGGGTTTATAACTGCTCACCATCATTCTGTCCTGCTGGATTACAAGAACTCCATTTTCAGCATTATGCCATTGGGCTGTACTTCCAATTTCAATAGTACATATATGTAACTCCTAAGGATTTACACGTGCAACCCCTACCTCTTAAGGATCTTAGGATCCTACTTACTGCAATAAGGACATTAACAATGTGTAGCATATTCATTTCTGGGTGCCACATGAGTAGCCAGAGGTTTACGCTGCAGTGCTCCGTCTGCCTGAGATGCTGAAGCGTATTTAAACACGCTTACCTGAACTGTCTGTCCTATGAGATGCTTTGCTCTTCCCCCCTTTCTCTTTGCTTCCTTTTGTAAAAGTGGCCAGCTTGGTAGGAATCTGCTGCTGGACTGCAGCTGGTTTCTGTATCTGATTAGTTGCGCTCAGGAGATGTATTGGCACTTCATTCTTCAGTGCAAGAACAGGGCGATTCTCCAGCGTGGTGCTGTCCCTGCGAACCAAGTCCGGCCGTTCCAGGTAATCCATCCCGGAGACGCTCACTCTCACAGAGGTTTTGAAGGGGGGGGCAGATGGTTCCACCCCTTCTCCGTTGAAGCTAACAGAATGACTTAGCATCTGGCTCTACGTGAGAAGAAAAGGCATTCCAAGTCAAACAGGTATTTTTACCCTCTCAGATTCGACAATGAGGGACAGCCCTCAGTCCTGAGTGCATTAAGTGCTTTCTAGTAAACAATATAACAGGTTAGACAAAGCCTAGAACGTGCTGGCAGACGGAAGGAAGAGCATGATTGCAAGTCTTTGAACACTGAAAAGAACCTCAGCAGCTCCAGACTGCTTAATACTGCACCACGCAAAGGAATCCAAGAGCAGACTGCACTAGGTGGTGATAGAATGGAGAAAAAGCAGGACTTTCAGACAGTAACAAATGAACCAATTTCAGACAACTCCAAAGTTCACATTTTGAAACCCAAGAAATGGCTTTAGAAATCAACTGTACAAAATGCTACCAATGGAGCAGACCTTCTGCAATCACTTGCCTGCAATAGAGTGGTTCCCGTGTTTAAAAAAAAAGCTTTGGTCTGCCACGTTCTAAAATTACTCCTTTTCTGTTTCTGTCTTTAAAAAAACCACAGTCTCATTACCAGATGTCTGGGTGGAATTTCAAAGACACTGGGGAGCTACCAAGTTCTGAGCTCTCTGGCAGAAGCCACCACCAGCTGTTTCAGATGATGGCTCAAGAAGCCCAGCTGCTGGAGCTGGTCTGACAAAGAAAGGGAAGAGCTGCTTTGGTAGGAAACTTGCCATAGTGGTCAAAAGTAGATGTTTTGGGGAGAGGGGCATCAATCCATCCCAGTGCTCCCAGTCAGTTGCCAGCACCTGTAATAAATGCTTGGGGCAATGCAGAGCTATTTCAGCTGCTCCAGCCAATGAGTTGCCTTTATTTGGAGGTCAGCTCAGATGCCTCTATAGAAATACCTATAGCATGGGGAATAAACAAGAGGAATTAGAGATGTGTGCATGGCTACAGGGATATGATATCACTGGCATGACAGAAACACGGTGGGATGGCTCCTATGATTGGAGTATTGGAATGGAAGGTTATAGGTTCTTTAGGAAAGACAGGCCAGGAAGATGGGGAGGGGGAGTTGCTGTTTATGCCAGTGACAGGCTGGAAAGTATGGAACTCTGTCTGGGGACAGATGAGGAGTCAACAGAGAGTTTGTGGGTCAGGGTTAAAAGGAGAACAGCAACGGGGGACATCACTGTGGGGATCTGTTACAGACTGCCCGATCAGGGGGACTCTGGATGAAGCGCTCTATAGACAGACAGGAGCAGCCTCACACTCACCGTCTGGAAAGCTAAGGCCCAGCTAGAATTAAATCTGGCAAGGGATGTGAAAAATAACAGGAAGGGCTTCTATAGGTATGCAGCAATCAAAAGACAGAATAGGGATAATGCAGGCCCTCTCCAGAAGCTAATGGGAGAACTGAGTACTCTGGATTTGGAGAAGGCTGAAGTTCTCAATGGCATCTTTGCCTCAGTCTTCACTGGCAAGTGCTCTGACCACACCGCCCAAGTGTTAGAAGGCAAATGCAGGGACTGTGAGAATGAAGACCTTGGGCCCACTGTAGAAGAGGATCAGGTTCAAGATCATCTTAAGAACCTGAATGTGCACAAGTCCATGGGAACTGATGAAATCCATCCGCGGGTCCTGAAGGAGCTGGAGAATGAAGTTGCTAAGCCACTGTCCATCATATTTGAGAAATCACGGCAGTCAGGTGAAGCTCCTGATGACTGGAAAAGGGGAATATAACCCCCATTTTCAAGAAGGGGAAAATGGATGACCCGGGGAATTACAGACCAGTCAGTGTCACCTCTGTGCCTGGCAAAGTCTTGGAGCTGATTCTCCTGGACGGCATGCTAAGGCACATGAAAATCAACAAGGTGCTGGGTGACAGCCAGCATGGCTTCACTGAGGGGAAATCCTGCCTGACCCACTTGGTGGCTTTCTATGATGGGGCTACAGAACTGATGGACAGGGGCAGAGCAGCTGTTGTCATCTACCTGGACTTATGCAAAGCGTCTGACACCATCCAACACGACAGCCTTGCCTCTAAATTAGAGAGACATCAATTTGATGGATGGACCACTCGGTGGATAAAGAACTGGCTGGATGGCCACATGCAAAGAGTTGTGGTCAATGGCTCCATGTCCAGTTGGAAACCAGTAACAAGGGGTGTCCCTCAGGGATCGGTGTTGGGACCGCTCTTGTTCAACACCTTTGTTGGTGACATGGACAGGGGGATTGAGTGCGCCCTCAGCAAGTTTGCCGATGACACCAAGCTGTGTGGGTCGGTTGATACCCTGGAGGGAAGGGATGGGATCTAGAGGGACCTTGACACGCTTGTGAGGTGGGCTGATGGCAACATTATGAAGTTTAACCAAGCCAAATGCAAGGTCTTAGACCTGGGTCAGGGCAATCCCAGGCACAGCTACAGGTTGGGCAGAGAAGAGATTCAGAGCAGGGTAAGGAGAAGGACTTGGGGGTGTTGAAACTGAACATGATGAACATGTTGAAACTTGGGTTGATGAGAAACTGAACGTGAGCCGGCTTCAGTGTACATGCAGCACAGAAACCAACTGTGTGCTGGGCTGCACCAAAAGAAGCATGATCAACAGGTTGAAGGAGGTGATCCTGCCCCTCTACTCTGCTCTTGTGAGAGCCCATTTGCAGCACTGTGTGCAGCTCTGGTGTCCTCAACTTAAGAAGGACATGGAGCTGTTGGAGCAAGTCCAGAGGAGGCCATGAGGATTGAAGCTTCTCTTCTGGGGAAGAGAAACTAAGTGGAGACCTCAGAGCAACTTCCAGTATCTGAAGGGGGCCTACAAGGATGCTGGAGAGGGACTCTTCATCAGGGACTGTAGTGATAGGACAAGGGGTGATGGGTTCAAACCGAAACAGGGGAATTTCAGGTTAGATATAAGGAAGAAGCTCCTTTCTGTGAGGGTGGTGAGGGACTGCAACAGGTTGCCCAAGGAAGTTGTGAATGTTCCATCCCTGGCAGTGCTCAAGGCCAGGCTGGATGGAGTCTTGGGTGACACAGCTTAGTGTGTAGTGTCCCTGCCAATGGCAGGGGTGTTGAAACTGTATGATCTTAAGGTCCTTTCCAACCCTAACTATTCTATGATTCTACAGACAAGCAAACACGGGTTAGTGCTGCCAGAGGGGACAACCTTCATTCAGAAGCAAGCAGGTTAACAGGAACAAAACCCCAAGAAAAGCAAATTCCTCACCTGTCCCATTTCTGGGGAGAACGTGCCTGACACCGTGTTCTGCTTCTTCAGCTTCCTTTGCTGATCTAGACGCTCCTTTTCCTTCTCAACTGCCCTCTGAGCTTCCCGCAGTCTCTCGAGGTCATGCTGATAGGCCTCTCGCAGCCTCTCGAGCTCTTCTCTCTCCTGATTCACCTTCTCCCTCAGCTGCCGAGTCCCCTCTTCACTTTCCTGCAGCCGAGCTTCTTTGCTTTCAAATTCCCTCTGCTGCCGACTCCTTTCGCGCTCCAGGCGCTGCTGCTCCAGCTTCAGCTGGCTCTGAAGCTTCTGGACATTCATCAGCTCTTCCCTCTGCTTTTCAAAGTTCCGCTGTTTCTCCTGCTCTAGCAGGAGATTGCCTCGCGTAGACTGCAGCCGATATTGCTTCTCCCTGTCTACCATGGTGGCTCGCTGCATCTCAATGTAGCTGTCCTGCTGAGATATCACTGCCTGAAGGGGAAATCAGTTCACTGTAAGGTACACGGGTGCAGAACACATGCACAGCTAAACACAAGACAACACCCTCTACCAGATTAAATCACAGAGACTATTGTTTTTAAGAGCAGATCTAACTTCTGACTTGTACAGCCCACTGTGACCGACATGATACTGAAGATGGCTAAGCAAGTAAGTTATGCTTGTGTCAAAATTAACATTTCTTGCACCTAAAATTAGTACTTTGAATCCAATCAGTCACAATACTGCTGATTAGAGTAAAAACAATACATACATAGATGTGTGTATCCAAAATTTTAAGAGTAAATGAGTAGGTGGAGCTCAGAGTAGCAAAAGAATTGCATTTAAGTGAGCAAGAAGAAGGAAATAATTACCTAAGACAACAGATCTTACACTTCCTTCAAAACACCACACACAGTGTGTGTTTTCTTGATTAAATTCTGCCCCTCACTTTAGCTTTCGGGGATATTTTTAAGGTAGTTCTTCTCCACACCTGCATAAATTTTATTACAGTACTGCCTCACAAACCTCTTGGAAGCTGTGAATGCTCCATCACTGGTAGTGTTCAAGGCCAGGTTGGACAGAGCCTTGGGTACCATGGTTTAGTGTGGAGGTGTCCCTGCCCATGGCAGGGGGGTTGGAACTGGATGATCTTAAGGTCTTTTCCAACCCTAACTATTCTATGATTCTACAGTAAGTAGTGATTTACCTGAAGACTGAAGAGCAGCTGTAACAGTGTTTGTATCCTTTGGACAAGCTGAAGAAAAGGGGAAGTAGGGGAAGGAAAAAGGACATTAGACACTTGAACAGAGCTCTTGTTTGATGCATAAGACTTCTTTTTCTTTTTCAACAGTGATCATAATCAACAGTGTCTGTACAAAACCCCACACAATGGAAGCGTGGCTCCAAGAGTTCTCTAATACAGTAACAGCCAAGAGAGCAATATGCCAGCACAATGAATGGCAGTCTATCAGTCCTTGCAGAGATGTGAATCAGCACCCTACAAATCTCCCTGACATTCCAGGGAGCAATCTTCATCACCAGTTGTCTTCACGTGGGCTATTTAATGATCACTTCCTCTCATACTCCAGCACTGAATCACTACACAGGTACAGCACTCATGGGAGATTCAGGGGCATGTTTTGTCAGCGAGCTGAGATTATGCAATCTCTCCAAAGATGCAAGAAAAGTAGTTGGCCAGCTCTTAGAAATGCCTGTCTACATACCCAGAACCCATCTTTGTTTTCTAACAGGAGTTTTATCTCTGCATTCATAATGCGTTAGAGTCATAAGTACAGGCTGTTAATGCGCTTGTGCTTCCACAGACACTAAAAATACTGAGCTTTTTGGTGGTGTTTGGTTGGTTTGGTTTTGCATGCCATTATTATAATACAGCTATTTGCCATTTCCTCATAGTAGAGGTAACGTACCTGAGACTCTATGGTGGGCTGAAAGCCACTGCTGTCATCCAGCCTTGTCACATCACTCTAAAAAAGACAAAAACAGTATCTGAGGCACTTGCTGGGCTTTTGTAGCACTGCCAGAACAAGTTGGAAGGGTTCATCTCATGAGGGAACAGGTTTACTGCTAAGCAGAGACTGCTCCCATGCACCAAAGGACATGTAACAAGAACACTTAAATCAGAGGCCAGGCTGGAACCGATGCATGGTGATTAAAGCTAGCATTAATGGTACAGCACCAAATCAACAAACATAAAACCAAATTACCATGCCTCTCAAGTGCTAAGCTGTCAACTAGCCCCACTAAACACCCTTAATAGAGTCTAGTAATTTGACTGACATAGCTCTGTTACAGGCCAGCCCTACCAGCTTAGCATCACTTTTAACTTTGATAAAAGATTTGGTCTGCACCACTATTATAAAGAACATCATAAAGAAGCACAATTAAATCATGCATAAGCCCAACATACAGCTTGAGATGCTTCTTCTGCATCAGAAGGGAGGTCATGGAGTTGCACATCTGAGCTTACTGCAGGGCCTCTCCAGTCCCACTGCCTCTGGTCACCACCACTGTTCTTCCTAAAATTACCACCTGAAAGGAGAGTGGAATAGGGGTAACCTACACCAGCACCTCTGAAAACTCACTGCAGAACAAAGCAAGCAGAAAACAAAGGTGACTTTGATGTTATAACCAATATACAACTGCATGGCTGCTCCATGCTGATCCAAAGTGGAAGAGCCAGCAACAGTGACATGCATTTCTAACCAAAGTATCACTTTAGTGATGGCGCAGATACAAAAGGAAATGGAAAAACTTTCCTGATTCAGTAATAAAAGCAGGCAGCTGAATTCACATTTCCCAGTTGTTCTGGGTTTTTTTTTTTTAAACAAAACTAAAGTTTGTGTGGAACTGTGGTAACTGGGGAGCATGGATGAAGGTAATGCCCTCAGCACACCACTAAGAGCCCTACTCTGCTCCCTAGTGTTGGTATCGGAAGTAAAAGATACAACATGCTAATGCCACATGCTGGAAATTTGACCTTTTCCTTCTTTTAGAGCCTGGTGAAGCTTCCTTATATCAGGGCCTCACTTAATTCATTGTTCTTATCTCATTTTCTGTACAGAGTAACCCAGGAAAGGCTAAGAATGCCAAATGGTCCCCTTCTTACTTTTAGTTGAGATTGAGGGACTACTGTCATATCCGCCAAAGGTCTCTGCTCTCCTGGGGAGTCCTAACCCAGAGCCATCCTCAGGCTGACAGGATCCACTGCCTAAGTGAGTGAGGATAAGGTTCTGGAGATTTTCAGCTGCAAAAAGAGGAGAACATCTCATGTAAATAGCCATGTCTACACAGCAAGACAAGTGCATCATGCTAACAAGTTAAAACACATTTAATCCATCAAGTACATGAAAAGATCAGGCAGTTTGAGAGTTTTCCTGCAGTACAGATGAATTTTCCTTTGTGACTAGCTCTTTAAGACAGGCTGCTCATACTGCCTATATAAAGATGACCTCTTCCTTAATTGCAAGTTGGGATTATCAAGCCTTGAGTGTTTGGGTTTTCTTTTCTTTCAATTTTTGTTTTGGTTTGTTTTCCATAATAAAAGATATGTTTGTGCTTATTTTTTGTCTAAAGATACTACCTTTAGATAGGCTCTTTTAATATCTAACCCTCATATAATATTTCAGAACTGGTGTATTATTAGAGCACTCAGTTACCCACCTGAACAGACTCCACTGGCTGATCCTTAAAAATATCCAGACGGTGGAGAAGATCCTCTATCTAAACACACAGGTGCACTTTACCTAGTGCACATTGGTTCTGAGAATAAGGAACTCTGAACAGTGTTATAACAGTGCTACACAGAAGTATTATGTTCTTACAGGGTGATTTTCAGGACTTGGACCCTATGTGCTTATCCCCACCTCTGCATCCGAGTGAATGCATGCCCATTCCCACATTGCATTTACCTTCTGTCACAGCTGACTTCAAAATTGCTTCTCCTTGCAGATTTTCTGGGATATCCCCCCGAAGCAGTAGCCTAGATCGAGATCCTTGGGAATGGTCTTCAAACCCAATCATTTCAGACATTTCTAGATATATCTGTTGCTTCTCAGTTAGGCTTTGCATAATCAGGTCATCCTTCATGTTCAAACGCTCTGAAGGAAGAAACAAACTCAGTTCCTAACCACTGTCAGAGCACAGCGTTCAGCTGGGGAGATTATTTATTTCATGGTCAAGGCATCAAATGCTGAGATACAATTAACAGTTAAGGTGTAAGCTCATGGAGCATACAAAGCTTGACTTATTTAACTATTTCTATATAATTTTGCACTGCCTTGAAAGGCTTATGAAGGAGAAACTTGATCACATCATGTGACAAAAGAGTAAGACAGTCATCAATCACAAATGATGCTGAGAAGCAGTTCATGGAATATATGACTAAGTCATTACCTTGAAAATCTTTTAACTTAGCAGCTCTGGCTTCAGCCAGCCTCCTCTCTGCTTCAGGTTCATTAAATGTTCCTCCTTCTTCATCAGGACAGCTGTACAAAGAAGGAAACAGAGAGGTGTTTGACTTGCATATTAGATAACCTAAAGCCATTTCAGGATTCGCCTTCAAGATTTTGCCTAGGGTGTAGTTTATCTTGCATGTCAAATCTAACTCCCTTATCCAAAGCCCTGTTACATTTGACATCAGTGACATTTTGTGTTTATTTTTCAGGAAAAGCAGAATAAAGACTGTGGCTGGCTTCTATTGCAACTTTATGGCTGGCTTCTTCCCAAAGAACACAAAAGCAAATTGCATGTTTCAGTCTTACAGAGAAAGCTGAGGGGTAGTCAAATGGACTTCTGTGATAAATTTACATCTATGAGACCTGTGAAGACAAACAAGCCAGAAGTCAAGCCCTCCTGCTCTCTTATCATCTCATAAAATGATGATTTTACCTTTCTACAGCTCTGCGGATGTGTGCCATCCAGGAATTCCTCTCCTCTTTCGAGCTTGTGTGGATTTCATACATTTCTGGTCCTTTTAAGGAAGCACTAATTAAGAACATGGCCTTCTCCTCATTCGCTACCTCTCTTACAATTAACTTTTGCAGCGAGATAACTGGCGGTTTAGAGTCCTGTGAAACAAAAGAGAGTTTACTGCACTACACTGTATATGCTCTTTAGGGTTTGTGCTTCCCAGCTCCCCCATCTTTCTGCTTCTACTGGGCCACCAGGCCCATAAAACACATCACTGGAATGTTACTGCTATGACACTTCTGACACTGCCATTTTTTTCTCATCAATCATAGATGAAAATGTGGAATGAAGAATGACCATTTCAATGGTCATTCGTGGAATGAAGAATGACCAAGATGTCTGGGTACCTGACTGAATATCAAAGCAAGTATCAATTTAAACACCCGATGGTTCCCACTGGGTCCCAGAAGTCAAAAAAGTTGCTCAAAAGGAGACAAAACCAACATTTGTAAAAGGAAACAAAAATGACATGTGTGAGGTAAAAGAAGAGAACAAGAGGAAGTGACAGAAGTTCTAAGTGAGCTACAAAGGAAATAAAATCATAACACAGGGGTGTTACAGCTTGCTGTCAGGCCCTGTGAATAATAAAACAAGGTGACAGATAGCACTGCTGTATAGCTAAGGATTAACTGGATTAGCTGTCTTCTGCAATGAAAACAGATTTACAGGAGGGATATTAGTCACTGAAAACCTCTCTGTGCTTCATACAGCACAGAGCCAATATATGAAGCCTAGAAAGATTCTCCCCAGAAGAAACTAGCTCTTCATAACTGCTGCACCTTTGCAGCATAATCTAGAGTGACGGGAAGAAAACCGAGCTGTGGCACAGACATCAGGAAGGGTTGGTTTTGCCAACGCCTCTGAGCAGCTGTACTGCAATTCAAGCCATGAACAGAGGTCAATGGAAAAACAGAATCACTGAGCAGATCCATGTGCCCCCCTCACTTGATTTATCTATGGAGAAGTGATATCTAAATTTCAAATGAACCGTACACATACAAAGATGCAAAGAAGTGATCAGTCTATAACTGTAGAGCATGTTACTGGAGGGGAAAAAAACCCACCATGTAGCAGAGATCAGCTTGTGGGGACTGTCATAAGCAGCTAAATGATATATATAAGCCAGGGCTTGACCCTGCAGTAGAGCACCTACACTGACTAAGAACATGTATGTGTGCTCTTATTTCTTGGGAGCAATGCTTTAGCCTCAGTGTAAGCTACAACAGTCATGATGGTCAAGACACTACATTAACAACATGTTTCTTCCCCTCTATGAACTTGCTCTTCTGCTCATACCTCAGGTGAATTTGGAAAACATAATTAATCTATCAGAGTCAATGTCATAAAATGAACTACTGGTCAAAGATTCACCTAATGCTGCTCAAGAGGAAACGACTTCCAGCCATCCTGATCTGTGAAAGTATCCCCATTCTGTGCATTAGAAGAAGGGTAATTTGAAAAGCAGTTGCTTTTACAGCCCTGGGGCCACCAAAATAGCTTCTGCCATTAGAGTTCAGCTCTAATGTTGATGTCTTGAAAAAAGAAAATATATATCCAAGAAAACAATTACATAAAATAGTTTCTCTGTTACTGGTGCTATTACAGCCATAACCGAAGTAGATCAGGACAAAACGTCCACCATTTACTGCTCTGAGGATACCTGTGGAAATGCCCTAGAAAAGCAAGTGAATCCACTGAGTGTTCTAGAGTGCTGCAGTAATTACATTTGCATTTAGTGCTGACTCCATTTACTTCAGGAAAGTTCTTTGCCCCCAGTAAATCTTAGCCTACCGTGACCTTACCACATCCCTCACCGAAATGGAAGATTCTTTCCCTGCACATTAGCAAACAGAAGCAGACCTCATTTGCAGGTGCCTTTCAAAGCACAGATCTAGTATGTTTAACATATATGACACAGTTCAGTAAAAGGGAAAGTCACAGCACAAGAGGAGAAGCAGTGAACCTCAGAACAGGCTCAGGGCACCAGAAAACCACAGGAGATGTGGAGGCTGGAGCCGGCTGATGGAATAGCACACTGTTTTTGCACCAAGACACAGTGTGAGGGATTCAACAAGTACCAGAACTGCTTCAGAAAAAGTGATTCTATAATAGCTGGCTGGTTTATAACTTAATTTTCCTTTTGAACCCCCCACCCCATAATATCTCCATTTCCTGCATAGTTACCGTCACTTTCATAAATACTCTAAGTGAATGTATTAAATAAGGAGAACAATACCTACCACTGATGCAAATGTGTATTTTTGGTCCTTTTCTTGTAAGAGCAGCAATACATCAGTTAACAGGACTGCCAGAATATCTACAATAACAACAGAGGGGGGAAAAAAGGGCTGATTTTAAATCAGAAACACAGGTCCAGACTGAAAAACCACCTAACTTCAGTGCCTGTGGGTCAGGGAACAGCACATCAGCATCTGCAAGAGTGGGTCTGCTACTTCCTCTCACGTGGGCTGTCCACAGACAGGCTGCAGTCATGCAGAACCAGCACAATACAAATAGCTTGATTTAAAGCTTGAGAACACACCTACAGAGGCATCCCACATGTTGACAGAAACACTCATGAGGGAATGTGTCTCCCTTAACTGCAGATTCTTCTAGAACTGCAGCTCTCTGCAGCACCACCTACTCTTGGCTGCATTTTATGTGCCACTGAAGCTTCTTCTTGACCACCTGAGCACTGAAGCTGTTAAAATATTCACCGGTGGACACTGGTTTGATTTTCTGGCAAAACAGACATTATGCAGAATGAAGGTGTCATGGGGTTGTGAAGCAGAGCTAATAATGCCTTTCCACAGGAGACCAAGTCAGTATGACTCAAAGCTTTGTCATCTATCTAAAGACCTCCCTCTTGAATTGGAAAGCAGATCAGACAGATAATAAGCAAGCAGCATAAGGAACTTATGCACCATTACAGAGATGCTTATTGGACAAGCCAAGAATAGAACAAGTGCTATTTCCTCCAATATCCCATTAAACAAGCAGGTTATTGTCATTTTATACTCCATCGATCAGTAATAAACAGTTACTAAAAAAAAATACATATACATTAAAAAAATAAATGAAAAGCCTGTTTCTCTGTCGTGTTTTCCCCCTTCCTGGCCCTTTACCTTTGAGTCTCCCTGATGCAGCTTTCCAGTACAGCATCCCATCGAGCAGAAGCCGCCTCTGTCCCATGTCATCTTTCCGGAAGAAAAGCCCATTCTTGCATTTCCCTGATGATTTTAGCTCCATTTTATGCATAATCTCTTTAAGGCGCTGCCCCTTCTCACACTCATTTACTGTGGCATCTACATGAGTGATTGTGTCCTTAATTAAACTAAGGGCCTGGGTCAGCTCTTCATAATCTCTAGTTCCAGCTAAGAGAAAAGAGTAGCAGTCAGTGGGTTGCATTTTTAACTGGAATGTACAAATATGAGCAGCTAAACATATTTTAATGTGAAGGTTCCGCACTGAGCATCTAACAGTTATTTCCTAACAGGTTGTTTAAAAATAAAGTAAAAGACAAAATATCCTAAAGCTCTACATCTCTAATGAGCCGACAGACTTAAAACTGCTATGGTTTTGTGGTTTCAGACTTAAAAATCAGTGCTTGATGAGGTGACACTGATCTGGATCTGCATCTAGAACAGCATCTTCAGTGAACGAGGAAGAGAGAAAGCAGGAACAGGCAGTACCACCCTGTCCCTCCTTGTCTGAGGAAAGGACATGCAAAACACAGGAGAAGGATCAGCAGACAACTGTGAGGCTTCCAGGAATGATTACACCTACCTTCTGTATTCTGAATAATGCGTTCCACCAAGACTGGGTATTTGGTGAGGCGCTGGGTTACCAGAAGGATACACTCCTGAACACCAAGTCTCCTCACAATGGAAGAGTTCCCAATTTTCTAGAAAACAAGACAGACTCATCACACCCATTGCATATATTGCTCTCCTAACTCCCTCGCCTCACCATTCCCACATTTTCTGTCTCAAAGCACTTTGTTATGACAAGGCATAGCATCACCAAATTAGCATCACCTCTTTTACTAAAGCAAAACTCCTGGTAATGTTAAAAAACAATTGCTTTTATTACTGGAAAATATTTTGGGTTTTATTTTCAACTACTCTTAACTAAATCTGGAGCCAAGCAGAGAAAGTTCCGGATCTGAACTATTTGACTGCCTATTTGCTGATTGCCTTTTAGAATAGGATCAGTTCTTAAATACATAGGAAAGTACTAGAGTTTTGAAACCAGACCGAACACACCTAACAGCCAAACGAGGTCAATAATGACTATGCCCATGACCTGCCCATGGCAGGGGGGTTGGAACTAGATGATCTTAAGGTCCTTTCCAACCCTAACTGTTCTATGATTCTATGACTAAAGTAAGTGCTTCTTTGACCCCATGTTCACCAGCAGGCTCCTCTACAGTACCACAGCTCTGTTTAGAAAGGGAAGACTGTAAAGCGTCAGGATGCCACTAGTCAGTCTGGCTACACGTCCAGCACAATTCTGGCAGTAGAATACAGTACTAAGATCTCTCTTTACAAGGACTGTGGCGATGTATTTTAAGACTCTGGTTACTTACTTAGCTCCTTGAAAGTAAAAGGTTCTCCCTTTTAATGACTCCTAGCTAAGAAGAGCTGTAAGTATAGTGCTACATTGGAACGTTCACACGGTGTCACTTACTGAGGACTGGAAAATGTGAATACTTAAGACTGTGCAATGACATCTGCAGCTCAGGTTACAGGCTTCTACTTTGGCTGTGTCTCTTCAGCCCTTCCTATTAATTGCACATTACACTGTACATCAGACAAACAAACCACCCTGGAGCCAATTTTCTGGGTTTGGAAAGATGATGCAGTGGGCAAAACTTGACTCAAGAGTACCTGCTTTTTCCATAGTTGATCATTAACAGCATTTATCATTGACTGAATTTATTATCAAGCCACTTTACAAAGATGGCCACACAGCATGGCAGTGAGTGATAGTCATGAATAACTATAGGGGGCCTACAAGAAATCTGGAGAGGGACTTTTGACAAGGGCCTGCAGGGACAGGACAAAGGGAATGGCTTGAACCTGCCAGAGGGGAGACTGAGATGAGCTCTTAGGCAGAAGCTCTTCCCTGTGAGGGTGCTGAGGCGCTGGCACAGGGTGCCCAGAGAAGCTGTGGCTGCCCCATCCCTGGCAGTGTTCAAGGCCAGGTTGGACACAGGGGCTCGGAGCAAGTTGCTCCAGTGGAAGGTGTCCCTGCCTGTGGCAGGGGTTGGAACTCGATGAGCTTTAAGGTCTACATACATATTCTATTCCCCAGTCCTGTGTGCTCCTGAGAGCCTGCCTCAAATGTCACACCTGCTAATGGTGGTGTTGTGTCCACCCAGCTCCAAAGATCTAAAAATCAAGCTATCAAAGATCTAAAATCAAGCTATCAAATAATGCGAATCTGCCTCTAACTAGGTGCATTCAAACTGGAGGGATCTTCAAGTACAAAATAAGATCTAAAGTGGTCAAGTATATTTTGCACAGTCAGAATGGGAGACTTCTGGTTGTTGTTTACCTTTATTAAGGTTTGGAACTTCTTATTGCTCTGGAGCAGGTCTTTATAGTGACTAACAGCTTCATTGTGTCCAGAACAGAACACACCGTATTTTTCCTTCATTCTCTCCCCATTTTCACCTGAAAACTAAATCGGAAAGATAAGAATAAAAAACATGAATCATTAAGAGTAAGTTTACGTTAAGTAAGTTAAGTTTATGGTAAGTGATTTCTAAGGTGTTTACTATTCAGTATTTCAATTTCTTCTGTATCAGAAATGGGAGATTGATGCAGTGTGACATCTGAGAGCTTGGAATACCACAAGAACCAAATATGGCAGCTGCCATTACAAGAATTTTTAAAAGGATTTCTGGGGCTCTGCACTTAAAAAGACTGAGGACTAAATGGTGAAGGGGAAAACAATGGTCATGATATAGGAAGGAAGTTGAATCCACTCTGTACCAGAATAGGTACTAAAGCTGTAATGAGTTCAAAGGATCTTCACTGCATTTCTAAAAGGTCAGAACCTAGAAGCTTGGCATTAAATGCAGGAGAGCCACATTTGGGATGGACACCAGGAACATGTCATGTTACTTTTGGAACAGAGATAGAACCAGCTGCATATCCCACAACATGCATATGCACATGCCCAAAGAACATTTAATGATCATTTCATATTATTTGTGACTAGATATGCTCCTGCGAATCACGCTTACACATTACACTGGGAAGATAACGTCAAACAAATTATTAAAACAATCCTTACATAACTTTAGCCCACCAGTTAGCTTGTTAGAAGTTTAATATTGGTAGAATTTAATCCACACCTGTTTTACCAAGAGGTCTCCAATGTTCTGGATTAGATAATTTCGGTCACTGCCTTCTTCTAAGGATTCCTTCCGTCTCTCCTTCAACTGGAGCAGAAATTGCCCATGCATCTCCAGCAGCTCATCCACACAGGGGAAGAGCTTGTTGATAACTGCATTTGGGAACTGCAGTTCCTCTCTCATGGCTCTCGAGTATACCTTCAGCATTATTTTCAGTGTCCTAACATGGTGCATTTCAGTCTGCATTAGTTCTGAGCAAAGAGAAATACACAAATCAGAAGTCATTTATCTGCTGGGCAGTGACTACTGAGACAGAACAGAGCAGGCTCTGAAAGCCACCACCTTTTGTACCTCCTTCTTCACCACAGTCTTTGCATTACGGATGTGAAGCTCCCAAATTGGCTCTGATCATCTCCCCTCCAAACAGCGACTGACCCTACTTATTTAATGGCATCCCCCAGTTGCAGGTGAGCTCTTCCCTAATTGTAGAGCTGGGGTTAGCTGCTTACATAGGCATGCTGACAACTATGTGTTGCTTAAAATCATTAACAGGAGGACTTGTGCACACTGTGACAGGCAACAGACTTGAAAATCTTCACTCTAGTTTTCAATCACAAGTCAAAATGGGAGCCAATAAAAAGGATTTCTGCTTTGTTTCAAAACAGTGGCATTATGAAATAGAAGAAGTCACAATAATAACAAATAGTCTTACCATAAATGACATCTTGCCTGTTTTTAACGTCTGGCCTTTGCCTTTTTGCATAAGACTGTTCCACTGCAACACTCCAAGACTCTGCCTCAAACTCATGAGCGTCTGTTTCTATTTCACTTCGGAGGGATACAGAATATGCATCTAGACCAAAAGCACATTCAGTTTCAGTTGTTATTAAATTGCTTCCCACCAGATCCCTCATTACCATCATTCACAAAACCATCTCAGTGCTGTTTTAAGACTGGGTAAGAAATCACATAAAAATCCTGAAAAGCACAGAAATTCCATACCTTCCAGAAAAATGGTGTCTGCTGTTGAAGGTGCAAGTGAGACAACGTCATCTGAAGTCTGCTTAAATTTGATAAAGCTTGAATCCCCTTCATCCATGTCTCCTGAAATCAGTCTAAATGGCCAAAGAAATTAGACCAAGGGATCAAATCAGAATATTAACATTAAAGTTGCCTGACAAAGAAAAAAGCCTCCAAATTCAACCACTTTAACCTCTTTCCTAAACTCTAGTGCAACTGACTTAAATAGATAAAAGCTAGCATTGCACTCCGACTCAAAACAGTCAAATCCATTTAGCAAGTCCATCACTGAAGTATTACAGTTTTAATCGAAGCAGCATGAGCAAGTATGCAACTGCAGGTATGACATTTTGAAAAGACATCACCTGGTGACAAGCCACAGCCAGTTCAGAGTACAAAGGGCTCTTGCACTGAGCTTAACTGTGGCACATAAAGAGTAAACAACTATTTAAACCAGCAGAGAGCTACTATTTTAATCAAGGTATCCTGCAACTGCAGCCACTGCTGTCTCCTACACTAGTCAGAACTAGTACAACCTAGAATAACTGACCTCAGATTATTGAAATGCATCAGGTCTGAAGACAAATATACCCATGAAAGCCATAATCTAGGCAGAGACACCCAAACTGTGCCCCATTTTACATGACCTCTTCTGTGATATAGTACAGGGGGACTAAAGACAAGGCGATTTAAACAACAGCAACGCTTACTGTTGAGGGAAATGAATTAAAATTTCAATAAATCTCTTTTGAGCTAAAAAAATTTTAAAAAATCAATGTGAATTCTTGCTTTAGTTCTGTAATTGTTTTTCTTTTTACACGGGGCCGGGGACACGACAACAGCAGAAGCTGATGAATTGGAAGAGAAACAGTTTACTTACCCAAATTTACTGACAGCTCCAGCAGTATTCAGGGAAGACTGAGAATTTCCTCTTTGGGCGATAGTCATGCCGAGATTCCGCGATAGGACTGGGGTGCCATCAGGTCCCAGGAGAAGGCTCCGGGGCTGTTCCTTCAAAGAAGTGGCTAAAGAGGCAAAAATCGAATTGGTACTCAGGAAATGAGGCGTACACTGCAGCTCCCCTGCTCGCAGACCCCGCTCCGAGTGCGGCCGGAGAACAGACAGGATCTTGGATGTCAAGAGCTCGTTGTCCAAAAAAACATTCTCATTCCATTTTCTTGAAAAGGAACCACAAAACGAGAGCTCGGCATGAGCAGGAATTGTATTGCTCCTGCCGCTGCTTTTTGAATTTGTATTCCCCATGCTCACTCCTGGCTGCCCTCAGACTTGGCACAGTAAAGTGGCCCCAGAGATGCACTGTTTTTATACTACCTGTGATCCTTCTAGAAATGTAAAGCTGCCACTTAACTTACTGTATTGGCTAAATCAGCAGGTCTGAAGTGCAGGAAATTGGTCCCTACTGTGCCCATTTAGTGTGGAAATTGCAAAGTATCTTCTCCTTTAGTAAAACACCAGAACCTACACACAATTATTCACACCCTACCGTATAAGGGCACAGAATATTTCATGGCAAACGAGAAAAATCTGAGCTCACATCAAAACCACAAGTCCCTTGCAATGCTTATTGCCTGACAGTGATTTCTATCTGCAAGCACACACACACTGCACATAATAGATACCAGAGCTATATTTAATTTTAATACTGCAGCTTTTTAATGCTTTTTAAAATCTAGACAGACTGTGAACTGGAAAGGTATTTGAAATTTTAATCACTCTTACACAATACATGGAAGCTTGTAATAGACTTCTAAAAAATGGATACAATTATTTAGCACTAATGTCTGTAATGAATGATAAGGAACAGGAGACAAAATACATCCTTTTAAGACAGGAACTACAGGGAAGTCAAAGATGAAGAATCAGCCAATCTTTGAAACTTATCACTGACAAGGTCTGCAGCTGCCCTTATTCCAAAGTGCTTTTAAGGACATGGGAGTGGAAGAGATCTCATGGATCCTTGAGCCCACTGCAGCCTCTGCCTTACCCCCAGACCCAACTCCTCATCCAGTCCTGTGCCTGGGAGGCTCCTTCAGGACCATGCAGCCATTCGAGAGGGTCACCAGTTCCATCCAAGGTCTATGCTCACCAATTTACAGCTTTTCCTGTAAAAACACTAGTGTTTACCTATCCCCAAAAGTTCCCCTTTCTCAGTCTCACTCCTCCGCTAAGAGCTCTCTCTCCTTCCACTTCTGCCTTGCTCAACAAAACATAGCTAAACCAAGGTATTCATGCTTCATTTCATGAAACGGGTTTTTCCACATTTCTTGATATCCCATACTTTACATCTCCTTGTCTTTCATTTCATGTCTGAAACAGTTGAATAGAATCGTATTAGGGCTGCAAGGGAGATTTCATGAATGATATTTAATATCAGGAATTATCACTGCAGCTTTTCCTGCTGGAAAACCTGCTTGGGTTTGAAATCTGGCTATCAACACAGCACAACACAACAAGTAGGTAAACTGAGTCCTCTTCCATCCTCTCCAAGTGATGAGCTCCAACGGAAAGAGGACACTAATTTAGTGGACACTAACAGAAAGATTTGTAAAGGGGGTTTTCTTAAAGACTTAATAATAAATGTCCTTCCATTTCTATCTGGGGAAGTACTGAAATCTTCAGCCATCATGTTCTCTTGCTGTGCTTTACAAGCCAAGAACATAAAGATCTGTTTCACAATGAAAGGCCAACTCTAAAAATCCCCACAGGCAAAACATGTGGAGAGGGATGGGGGACACACACAAACACCACAGTTTACAGCTTTCTTAAACTGTATTTCTCTTTTACATGGACACAATACCTTTCTTTGGCTTTTTTTGCTGGACACTGCACTCTGCAGTGTTACCCTGCAGGTAAAGACAATGCTCATGCTATCAACTGCTCCTTTACCTCCCAGTTTCTGGTTTTGAGCATGGAAAACAAGTACTGGCTGCCTAGCAGAGTGTGCACCAGCAAAAAGCCATTTTCTGAGTTCAATTAGCACTGTCTGCACACTGCTGAGAGTCCCCATCGATCGCTGTTAAGCTGTCAAACCAGACCAGACTGTATACCACAGAGCTGTTTCAACGACAAGCCCTACAGCCAACTTTTCCTATTTTCATTAATCCTTACTGTTTCCTACTGTCCCTGCACCTTCCCCTAAATGCACAAAAGCATTCTTGGTAAGGCAAACAGCCATTTGTCTTCTTGTAACACTAACTCTTTGTCCTCTTACCCTTGTTTCACAAAGGATACCTTGCAATGCAAGTCAGATGATACCTAACAAAACCAGGTGAAACACATACAGTAATACTCAGACATTCATGTCAGCTGTGGTTCTTACAGCCATCAAAGCAACCAAATGGACCGACTGCAAGGCAGAAAGTAATTCTATTCTGGTTACAATCAATCACCCCAGAGCCAAAAAGCCTCTTCTGTTAATGCAGACCTCATCCCATCTAAAAATTAGAATGCTATTGGAATGGTACACCTGTGACCATGATGGTCTTTTCCAGCAGCAAAAAGCTATTTCAAAGCTTATGCTGCAATAAAGCTGTTCATTCCTTTTTTTTTCCTCCCAGATGTCTTTTCCCACTTTGCTTCGACAAAGATTTCTGTTCAGACCATTAGTGCTAGCTTGTCTTAGAGATTTCTAGCAACCACTAGCTGCAGGCAAGTTTTAAATAGACAATTATGAAAATCTGATGTAAAACAAAGTTCACAGTTCTAGTCTTTTCAGAGGCCAGAGAATAGACAATCAATGAAAAACGAGCTTATTGATCCCTTTTCACCGTGATATTCTGAGGTTACACAGCAAGAAGGTATAAAGAAAAATAAAAAGATAAAGAGATAAAAACACACAGGAGATTGCTAGGAGCCTCTGAGCCATTCCCAATAGGAAAAAAAATGAAGCCATCTTATTAAAAGAGACCTTTTCTATACCTCAATAACACACTGTGTATAGCCTTTAAAACATATTAAAGGAAAAAAATACAATCGAACAGATAAGCCTTGAGCACAGAAATCATTCTTTAGTACAAACCTGGGGAAATGCACTGGGGCGAACTTTGTGGAGATCCAGAAGGTCTGTGCTGCAAATCTCTCTGCTATAGGAAAAAAGACAATATTCTTACACATCCAGACCAAACTTTCAGTCCAAAATGAATCCTATTCTTTCTACCATACAGCACTAACTGCGAGTGAAGCTGTGTACTGAAAGTAGAAAAGCTTTGACATGGTGACAGCTTTGATTTTTTCACATTCCAGACAAATGCCCTATAGACATTAACACTGTATAAAAATCCCATCAAACAGAGATCAGATGAAATAGAACAAAGAGCGAAGTTCCAGCTGAATGCAAGCTGTAATAATAAATAACTTATGAACTAAAAGCAAACCCTTTAGGTACACAGTCTTTACCTATGCTTTGTTGCCATTTAGCTCACAGCAACACTAATGATACTAACCCAGCCAGTTTCAACCAAAATTTAGACTGCCCATTTAAAACTGCATCTTTGGTAACCTGTACAACTTTCCCAGTCTTACAACACAAGATATTGCAATTCATTGAGATACAATTTATCAAAGATGCCAAGAAATTAAGTAAATTCTATGGTCTGTAATGAATGGCTTTTGGGGAGGCTTGTTTCACTTCAAGGGTCTCATTCCTGACTTCAGTCCCCATCATGTGTGCTACCACAGCCTCTTTGCTTTCTTCAGGAGTGGTCTGTCAGGGCTGACTACACCATTACAGTCTGTGAGATGGTAAGGAGTGAAAACGGAAGCATCAGAGCAAGTGAATTTTTCCAGTTTAAAAGGAAAATGCACAATGCATAGAGCACTTTAAAAGTATTTATCAAGACCCCCACAAGACCATTTCTGCCCTCAAGAGTTACATTCTATATCACCAGTGACTGAAAGCACTTCCTCTAACCTCTAATTGCCCAGGTTTGAGCTGCTCTGCTCTCTCTTCCCCCAGCTCACAGTACTCCCTAATCTGCTATTAGTCACTGAAATCATCAACACTTGCAGGTTAAACCAAACTCAAACTCCCTCGGGTGTAATTAGTTATAAGGCAAGGAAATTATTTTTGAAACCACTACCAGGATAATAATAATAACAAAGAAAAGGCAGCTCAGCAGCTATCTGAGCCCAACCTGTGACCTGACTGCAATCACAGGCACCACGCTGACACAGATAACAAATGAATAGCTTAGCAAGATATAAAGTTAGCCAGAGTTCAAAACCAAAATCACTTCTTCATTGCCTAGCTTCTAAATAACAGGCAACTGTTACAAACAAATTCCCCTCCACCCCTCAGCTTTAACATATTAAAATACAGGTGCATAAAATCCAGAGGTTCCAGAGAATTTAATCATGTTCTCAGAAAACGAGCATTCTTGTGTTAGTTGCAGTTCTGACAGGCATGAGCAATGCTAAGTGATACTCAGTACAGCAACAATACATTTCACTTAGTTTCCCTACATACACTGTCATAAATTACTATAATGACAAGTTAACAGCTCTTTGATGTCTTGAAGATGCAGGGCAAGATTCTGTACTGCTGTAAGGTAAAACACACTAAATTGTGAAGCACTGTTATTATAAAAGAAGAACGAACTTTAAACCCCACCTTGGGTCTGATGTTGCTGCATTCAGCCAGTAAACTCTTGCAGTTCTTATGGACATTCACTGCACAATCTGAAACACACACAAAACTGAAATTATTCTTGTCGTTCCCAGCTAGGGAAAGGAAAAACGACACAGGAAAAGATGGAATTTTGGAAGAGATGCAGAGAAAGCTCAGGTGTTTCAGTGATCATCCTTGTTGTGTATGTCCTGTTCTTCATTTTACACCAAATGCTCAAGCTTTTTCAATAAGGCTCAGAACAACTGATAATACAATCCACATATGCAAACCCAAAGAGATGCTATTGACTGCACTAACAGTATTCTGCCTAACCTTTGCTCAGCCACAACACTGCTTTCCTCTTATTTGCAAATGTTATTTCCAAGTCTCTCAAGTCAAAACTGATACCATTCAAGAGCTGCATTTATTTGGCTCCACAGGAATAGCTGCCTTTCTCCATAGAGTATCGGTAGGACCTGAAGTAACTACAGTAAATAAAGATCAAAATGCACCACAGAATCCTCAGAGCATTCCCATCATCAGTGCATCACCACTTTTCTAGCTTCACAAAGGAACTGTTTGCAGATGAACTAAAACAGCCCCAAAAGCATCATAATCCCATTAATAGTATAGTGAAATCTAATCTCTTTTTTTCCCCTCTTAATAAGTACTGCTTGAGAAAACAGGATGACAACTGCTAGTGGCAAATATTTTCTGCCGTCCTTCTGCCCATCTATAAAATAAGATCCTTCATCGAAAGCAGACCCAGGACACCAGCAACTCAGGCTGTAAAGGAGACCAGGATTTGTTTCTTCCCGTGTATTTAAACGTGCTCCTTAACAGAGAAATAGAACAAAACTGGGAAGATGAATATGGTATCTGCTAGAGAAATACGTGTTTATGTGTAAAGCACAGACCTATTTCAGGTGTCTACATCCAAACACAAGCATCCGCCGCGCCTGGCGCCAAGACTGGTGATCTGCTTCGAAGCTCCTGGCTAACAGAGAGAAATGCTCACTTGTGTTTTCCATGATTACACTAAACCACTGAGAACAGCAGCAAAATGCTCACTAGGCCTTAAACACGAATAAAGCAATAAAGATGTAGAACAAGACAACGACTGAGTGCACAGATCCCATGTTCTGCCACATCCACAAGGGTGGGAGGTAAGAGCAGAACGTGGCACTTTGAGTGCCTGCCACACAAAACATGTCCCCAAAACCAATCATTGCCCATAACTTCTCCATTATTTGTATTATTTCTACCAATACCAGACCCCATGCAACAAAACCAAAGGCACTGGATCTAATTTCAGATGTACGTGCCTCTGCAAATGTGTGATAGAAATGTATCGGAACTCCTCACTTGTTAAAGCTATGTAAAGAATAACAAACATACATTTGCTATTTCAGCATTGATAAGGCCTCCACCTATCACCAGAAAATGAAGCCGTGCCTCAGCACCAAACAACTTGTTGACAATGGAAAGCCCTTTCCTCCCGAGACAAAGGAGCAAACTGTAGGACAAAAATCACCACGCAACAGGAAAAAGGAAAGACTCTCCGTGACACCAGGCTGGGCTGGATTCATGGCGAGCTCACAACCAAGCTCCTTTCAGGATAGACCAGGCCAGTGGAGGGACCAGACATTCATATTCCTTGACATTTACCTATCTTCAGTGATTACATCTGGTAATTCTTTTCCCATTAATGATCAGTAGGACCAATTCTACTTCAAAAGCTTGGGTACCTTGTTATGCCGACTGCAAAAGGGGTATCAACTCAAAAATGTATTTCAATCTTAAAATCAGACACTTGCTCTGTTAAACGTAACAGCTTATATCCCTCTTGGCAGGCATTTTTCATTTACTCAGCTGGCATACTTAATAGTTTCCTATGCTGCTGAAAGATTCTGGACACAACGGGAGAGAACATACTAGAAAACAGGAAGATGCTACAGAAAAGCCTCATAAAACTGCAGCCAAACCCAAGGACTTGATTCTCTAAGAGACTGTTTGAAATGCAATGAACTGAATGACTTCCAGGGGCATTATTTTTGCCCACATAAGAAGAGAATTCTGAAAACTGCCAGAAGAATCAGCCTGTTTTACAAGCATACTTCCTTTGGTAAAATATACTGGCTTTCCCTATTCAACCACTGCTGCAGACAGTGCTGAACCAAGCACTCTCCGATTACGGATGAGAACAAGCTTTGAATACTTGTGAGTTTAATTTCCCTTCTTTTTTTGGCTTGTAAGATCTCTTTACTCTTCTGACCAGCATCTCTGAGCTGAGCATTAGAGAACTGCAGGGGTCAAGAAAACAGCAAAGAGAAGCATGAAGACAGTGAAGAAGCAAAGGGAACCTGCACACATTGAGACTGATATTTAAGAACAGAGATTCATATAAAGGGTTGTGAGAGGGATATAGAAATAATAAATATCTAACCTCAGAAAGGCATCCGAAGAAAAGAAGCAGGGAAACTCCAAACTGGCAAGGGAAAGTATTTTTGCATGTACCATCAGCCACTGGTAGCATCTGGTCTTATTCTGATCAGGAATTTGGGATGGTACGACAGTGAAATGGACAGTTATGTTGGCAAGCTCTTCTCAAACTGGAGAGGCACAGTTTGAGAAAAATACCTTTCCAGGTATATTATAAATAAATAAAGCTCATAATAATATTATATATGTATTTACCATTATATTATTTCTATACATTATACATATATTTATTATTACATTATTACTAGGAGCTACCAAGGCTCTTCCTTTTCTCCTCCCTCAATCACTCACTGGAATGGCAATAAGAGTAATATGGCAGGGAAAAACAGATCCTCCAAAGGATTTCCTTCAAGCAATGAGAACATCAGTTAAACTGCCTACACAACTTGAAGGTCCAAGGATTTGGGTTACCTTGACTGGACTGGGACAGGACCAGCACTATCAGAGCTAAAGGTACAAAAGCACTCACATGAAAATTAAGCAAACCCACCTTGGTTGTTTCTGGGCTTAAATATCCCACATCCTCTTATTACAGACTGCCACTGCCTCTGAAGGGTTCTGAGGGCTAGTGCCAGCGATGGCCTGTTGCTCATTGATAGACTAATTGAAACACGGGCCTCATCCAGCAAAGAAGTACTTAAGAGGCTCATAAACATCATAAAAGATCCTGTTCACCATTGAGGGCAATAAAATTAACATTTGGTAGAATAAAACCCCCTTTCCTTATTAATGAGATGCTTCCCCAAAGGCTCACGGAGACTAATTTACAACTTCAGAGCATTTTATTGGACAACACATTACGATGCCCAAGAGCATAACCCTGATCCACAGTATGCAAGAGGGCAATGAACCTCCCTGGAAAAGGGCAGGCAAATACATTTTCTCCCCCAGCTGGAATACCTCCCTGAGGATCAGACATTGGCAATGTCCTACAAATGTCTTCCAGAATTGGATTCCAGGACAAATCTATGAGTCACCAGATATTATGAGTATTATGACCCTGACCTTTGGTCTGGAACAGTACTGCCCAATAAAATAACTCTTGAGAGGCCATTTGCAAACAACTACAAAGACAGGTATGTTATGATTAATCTAAAATGGGACTAATGTTCCTCTCCCACCCCTCAAATATATGGGGGGCTTTGTGTTTTCAAATGACAGAGCTAAGTTCAGGCAGGGACACCTTTTAAGGGTGATTCTAATGATCCAAGGAATTCAGGCACTGTTTTAATGCGACGGATATATTCACAACCTGTTAAATCCAACCAACAGAAAAGCACCAGGATCTAAATAGTTTTCTTGTGAAATTAATAATTCTCCTGTTTTTCAAACACCTGATGCTTCAGGGATCAAAGAGAACCTCTTCCCTCACCCTTACACCATACTAGGTAACTCCTCTCTCTTGAGCTGACAAAGGAAACAACTTGCATGTGAGTAATACAGAATACAAACCCTGAATTTATACATAGACACACACAACACAACAGCTGAGGAACACTTCCAACTGCTACAGCATTCCAGAAAAAGCAGGGTGCCTTTGTGATCAACCTCCTCGGGAAGGAGGAGGAGCTTCAGGGGAACGTGAAGCTTCCGTACTCGGTAAATCCAGGTCAGGTATCTCCAGAATCTCGGAGCAGATTTAACTTTGTCCTAGTGGCTTTGGGGACCGGTGTTTACTTGTTTTGCTAATTTGCCTAATTACACAGAGGCAGAAACCCCGAAGTGGAAGGGTGCAGGGTGATGGGATGCTTCACATTCTGAGACAGAGCCAGGCTGCGCAAGAGAGCAACACCACTAAATTATCAAGTTTCAGTTCCCTGTTAAAGCATTCCTCTGTCTCCAAAACAACCTATAATTACTTTCTCCCTGGATCTGGTTCTATTGTCAAAATATTAGCTGGATGGATGGGGGGGGTGGGGTTGTGTCATTCCCAGCACTGCAGGTTCTGGTGGCCCTTTAAGCACAGAAACCCAAACTGAACAAGCGATGCTTCTGTGTTTTAAACAACGCAAGGCAAAACTCACATGGTATCCGACAAGCAATCCCAGTGCCATTTCAGTTCCCTCTTGCTGAACCCTTCCCCCATTCTCCAGGAACGCTACAGAACTGAAGCAGCAACTATGACCATCATAAAAGGTATGTAAAACATTTCATAGGTAAACATTAGGTGGAACTACAACACACAGTGTCTGGTGGCTCCTGTTTGAGAGCCTTGCTCCATGGGTTTGGGTTCTTTTTCTTACTGTACCAAAGAGAAACTATTACCTTTGGGCTCTATAAAGAAATAAAGCAAGCAAGCCAAATGGAAAAGTCTCTGTTAAAAGGGGAGTGAGAACAGAACTGAGGAGCAGCTTGGTTTGACAAGGATGCTACAGTAATGAAACCACAGCACAAAATCTCCAAACAGGATTCAAAAACATTGCTTTGTGGGTGCCATGGTTTAGTGCGAGGTGTCCCTGCCCATGGCAGGGGGGTTGGAACTGGATGATCTTAAGGTCCTTTCCAACCCAAACCCTTCTATGATTCTTTATGAAAGCAGCAAACCCAAATACAGCACCAGGGCCATCTC